TTTTATTCTTATAGAGCCTTGGAGCTTCCTAAATGGTATGGATTTTTTTATTCGGCTCATTTACACCAGTCCATATATCACATTTCCAAATTAGATTTGAATAGATTTTCTTGGAGTATCCGCAATGGATAAACAATTTTCTTGATTTCTTTAATTTTGAAACCATTGGATCGCGCGTTTTCTTTACGCTCTTCATTTGACCTGTCTAGTTCGAGGCTTTGAATTCAAACTTTTTTAAAGTGCTCACTTTGACACTATAGTGGCCAAACTCAACAACAAAATATATGTCATAGCTCTAGTACAATGTATTATCTATTTAATTGGTCTTTACGAATAATTTGATACTAGTATCACCCACTGGTCGGAATTCGACCACATCACTTATTTCATAATAATAATAATTATAATAATTGCTTGTTACGTTTTTTAGGTCCACCAGCACCTCTTGTTTGCCTACGTCACTATTATTATGGAGTGATATACTTTCTGTTAGATAATTTTATAATTCATAGGAACAGAAGGGAGACTTAAATTGGTATGGGGATTCGATTGCATATTAATATGCTATAAGATAACATGCTGCTTCTCTAACAATTTTCGGGTTGAACCAATCAGGACTGTAAATAATTTTTTTTTTTTTTAATATTTTGCACATCTACGCCAACTCCTCTTCCATTTGATATGAGTTTCAAAAGTGTACCATAAAAATCATGTTAGGGTATTAATACCTATATAAGATATAAATAGTAGATGGTGAAACCAAAGCACGCATTCATAGGCTTATATTTCTCTTGATGTTAGTAACGCTTATTTTGAATTTGAAGCAAATCGAGACATAAATGAAGTGTTTGCGAATGACTCGACTCCTGCGCCACCTACCGAGAAAACAAATGCAAAAAAATGCGCACCTCCTCTTTGAAACACCTTTCAAACAAAAAAAAAAAAACAATTATTCAAATCGGTTGAGAAACATAGGAGCAGTAGGGGTAATAGATTTGTATGGGATGTCGTAAGCGTATTTCATAATTTATAGATTTTTAAAGACTAACTCATGTCCGGCAACGAACTTACAAATTTCGGATCGGCAGCACAAAATGTGAAAGAGGTCCTTAAAAAATATAAAATATTTTCAGTTATTATTTCTAAGTAGAATGTAGAATTTTAGATCATAAATTCAGATTTCCTACTGGCAACATTTTATGTACATATGCACATACTGGTATGTTTATATGCATACTTATGTATAGGCATGTACGTATTTTTAGGGTTACTTTATGACCTCTTATATCGTATGTACATGTGTACATACATATGTATGTGTTTGAGTGCGCAAGACAAGCCCCCAACATCTCTTAAAACTATGCTAGAGTAGCACTGCAATAAAATTCATTAAGGATACGCTGCACATTTGCTCGTATTTATATTTTACCGCATATACATACGTATGTACGTACATAAGTACATATGTATGCATTTATGAATTTAATTAACTCTGATTTTTTAAGTAAATGACAAGATAATGGCTACCCTGCAAGAAAAGTGACTATCATTTGACAAATCATTTGAGTGGCAAAACTGATAGAGATTTCTGTCACTGGCTACCTACAAGTTTCCATCAAATTCTAAAGTGCAGTGTGAAAGATCTGATGTAAACTTTTGTGTACAAATTCTTCCGTCTTCCTCCAACTTATGGCCTTATTTTATGGTATCTTTTTAACCAA